TTTGATCAGGATTCTTCTATAGAATATTTGATCAAAATCTTCAGTAATGGTAGCCAGGCACCATCCAGTTCTTCTGGTCTCATGCAAAGGAGGCAGTTTATTCATGGAGGCAATCAGCCACACATTCCATATCCTCCTGCTGTTCCTGGCTCTCCATCTTCCTCTATTGCTCCAGGTGAATAGAGATCAATTGTTATGCCTTGGATGGCCCCTTGCAAGCTTTTAAGATCCCACGCACTACATAAAAAAAAAAATACAAGGTAGAACAGAAGCACTAGGCACGTTATTAGACCAATTAACTGGGATGTCCCAAGAAACCATGACTCTAAGCCTCCAAACCAACGAACCAAATTCCATGAGGTGTTTATGTAGTCTCAGCAGCTACCGTTCTTTGTTGTTGTTGTAAATATATCTATCACACAACTTTTGCCAATTCAACTTTTTACAGGTGTACAACTTACTGACAGTAATTATAAATAATCGGCTGTGCAACCCTATCCTTAATCAATGCGATTTTTCCGTCACCATTAACCCCCCTTTTCCTTCTCCCTTTCGCCCCTGGTAATCACTAATAAACTTTGGTCTCTATTCATTTGTCTTTTCTTGTCTTTTTATATAAGCAAGATCCTACTATATTTGTCCTTTTGTGATTGGCTTATTTTGCTCATCATAGAGTCTTCAAGCTCCATCCATATTGTAGCATGTATCAAGACTTCATTTCTCCTACTGGCTGAGTAGTATTCCATTGTATGTATGTACCACATTTTGTTTATCCACTCGTCTACTGATGGGCATTTAAGCTGTTTCCATCTCTTGGCTATTGTGAATAGTGCTGTGATGAACACTGGCAAACAAGTCTCTATTTGTGTCTCTGCCTTCAAGTCTTTTGGGTATATACCTAGGAGTGGAATTGCTGGGTCATACGGTAGTTCTATTTTTAGTTTTTTGAGAAATTGCCACACTGTTTGCAACAACAGTTGAACCGTTTTACATTCCCACCAGCAATGGATAAGGGTTCCAATTTCCCCACATTCTCACCAACATTTGTCATTTTCTTTCTGTTTCTTTTTCTTTTTTAAATCTTAGCCATCCTAGTAGAAGTGAAATGTTATCTCATTGTGGTTTTGATTTGCATCTCTCTGATGACTAATTACACTGAGCATCTTTTCATGTGTTCGGTGGCCATTTGAAGGTCTCTTTGGTGAAATGTCTATTCAAATCTTTTCCTCATTTTATGATTGGGTTATTTGTCTTTATATTGTTAAGTTGTCGAAGTGTTATGTATATTTTGTTTATTAGGTTCTTGTCAGATATATGATTTCCAAAGGTATTCTCTCAGCCAGTAGCTTGTCTTTTCACGTTTTTGGTAAAGTCTTCTGATGAACAAAAGTCTTCAATTTTTATGAGGTCCCATTTATTTATTTTGTCTTTTGCTATTCGTGCTTTTGTTATTATGTCAGCAATCCACTGTGGAAAGCTAGGCCTGACAGCATTGCCCCTGCTTGTTCTTCTAGGAATTTTATGGTTTTAGTTTGCACATTTAGGTCCTTAATCCATTTTTAATTTGTTTTTGTGTATGGTGTGAGGCATGAGTCCTGTTTCATTTTTCTGCATGTGGAAATCCAATTTTCCCAGCACCATTTATTGAAGACACTCTTCTTTCCCCCATGGAATTGACCTAGCACCCTTGTCAACAATCAATTGACCATAGATGTGTGGGTTTATTTCTGGACTCTCAATTCAATTCCATTGGTCTATGTATCTATTGTTACACTAGACCCAGGCTGTTTTGATTACTATGTCTGTATACTATGTTTTAAAATCAGGAAGTGTGAGTCTTCCTCCTTTGTTCTTCTCTTTCGACATTGTTTTAGTTATTCGAGCCTCTTGCCATTCCATATAAAGTTGAGGATTGGTTTTTCTATTTCTGTAAGGAAGGCTGCTGGAATTTTGATCGGAATTGCGCTGAATCTACAGTTCACTTTGGGTAGTACTGACATCTTAACAATATTTCTTAATAACGTTCATAATAACAATTGAAAGATAATTAAGTCTTTTGATCAATGAACATGGAACATCTTTCCATTTATTTAAGTCTTCTTTAATCTCTTTCAGCAGTGTTTTATAGTTTGTATTGTGTAAGTCCTTCACATCCCTAGTTAGATTTATTCCTAGGTATTTTATTCTCTTAGATGCTATTATTATAAATGGAATTGTTCCCTAATTTCCCTTTCAGATTTCTCATTGCTGGTGTATAAAGCCCGGGCAGTGCAGTGGTTAAGAGCTCAGCTGCTAACCAAAAGGTCAGCAGTTCAAATCCACCCGCCGCTCCTTGGATACTCTATGGGGCAGTTCTACTCTGTCTTGTAGGGTCGCTATGATTCAGAATTAACTCAACAGCAATCGGTTTGGTATCTAGAAACCCAACTGATTTTTATTTGTTGACCTTGTACCCTGCAATTTTGCTAAATTCTTCTATTAGCTCTAGAAGTTTTCTTGTGGATTCTTTGGGATTTTCTGTATATAGAAACGAAGTCTTGATACATGTTACAATATGGATGGAGCTTGAAGACATTATGCTGAGTGAAATAAATCAGTCTCAAAAGGACAAATATTGTATGACCTCACTTATATAAAAAGACAAGAAAAAGCAAATGTATAGAGATCAAAGTTTATTAGTGGTCACCAGGGGCAGCAAAGAGGGGGAAAGAGGGGTTAACGGTGATAGAAAAATCGCAATGATTAAGGGTAGGGTCATACAGCCAATTACTGTAATTGCTGTCAATAAGTTGTACACCTACAAAAAGTTGAACTGGCAAAAGTTGTGTGATAGATATATCTACAGCAATGACAAAAAAAAAAAAAAAAAAAGAGCGGCTGCTGAGGCTCCTTATGTACAACCAAAAACCTCATGGGATTTGGTTCCTTGGTTTGGAGGTTTAGAGTCATGGTTTCATGGGACATCCCAGTTAATTGGTCTAATAACATGTTTAATGTTTCTGTTCTGTCTCCTAGTTCACTGTGTAGTGCCTGGGGTCTGAAAAGCTTGCAAGGGGCCACCCAAGGCATGACAATTGGTCTCTGTTTACCTGGAGCAACAGAGGAAGAAGGAGAGTCAGGAACAGAAGGAGGATATGGAATGTGCGGCTAATTGCCTCCATAAATAACTGCCTCCTTTGCCAGGAGACCAGAACTGGATGGTGTCTGGTTACCATTACTGAACACTTTGATCAAAGATTCTATAGAAAAATCCTGATCAAAAGTGGAAAATGCAGAACAGAATTTCAAATTCTCAAGGACTCCAGACTTTCTGGAGCCAAGAGGGCTGGATGAACCCCTGAAACTATTAGCCTGAGATAATCTTTAAACCTTAAACCAAAAATATCCCCTGAAGTCTTCTTAAAACCAAACAATAGATTAGCTTAACTAGTGAAAAATATCTACCTTGAGTATTGTGCTCTTTTAAGAACTGCGTACATGGGATCAAATTGACAAAAGCAACTTGAAAGATTCTATAGGAATCTTAGGGCGCAGTGAGTTTATGTTAATAGGGAAGAACTACTCAGAAAAGGAGGGTGAGAATCAGGGTAGGATTACCCAATAGGCAAGGTAAGCACAGTGCTTACCTTACTTACCAGATCATTTGTGTGAACAATTTCACAATTTTTTACCACATCAAAGATCCTGTTTCTAGGTATGGCTGGCATTTTTCTCTCTCCCAACCCCATGGCTCCTTCTACAGAATCAAAGCCTCTTTCAAATTTACAATCCGTGACAGGGGCAGATGACCCAGTAAGCAAGGTAAGCATGGACTTACTTGAGCTTACTTACTAATCTGTAATGAACAATTTCACATGGGTTTCACCACATCTTTGAAAGATTCTATAGACGACTCCTGATCAAAAGGGGGAAAATGCAGAACAGAATATCAAATATTCATGGACTCTATTGCCCTAGGATAATCTTTAAAACTTAAACCAAAAATATCCCTGAAATCTTCTTAAAACCAAACAGTAGTTTAACTGATAAAAATGGCTTTGATGTGGTAAAACCCACGTGAAATTGTTCACTACAGATGATCTGGTAAGCAAGGTAAGCACCATGCTTACTTTGCCTATAATGGTTGCACAACTCAAAGAATGTAATCAGTTAATTGTATATGTAGGAATGGTTGAACTGGTATATGTTTTACTGTGTATATTCTCAATAACAACAACAAAAAAAGCACCATGCATATAGTAGGTGTTATAAATGTTTGGAAAAAACATTAGAGCTTTAGCTGAAGTACAATGAGAAGACATAGAGGGGTCTGAATATGTATGAAAGGGTGCTGGGTGGATGGGAGGATGGATGAATGCACAGTGGTTGAGTGTGTGGAAGTGTGGATGGGCTGTTGGATGGAAGTATAATAGGTGATACAGGTGGCTGATGCATGGGTGATGGGATGATTGGGTGGGTGGGTAAGCGTGGATGTTTGGGTGGATAGAAGTATAGTTGGGTGATGGGAGTAGTTGAGTAAATGGAGGTGATGGGGTAAATGGGTGGATAGGAGGATAGAAGCAGTTGAGTGAACGTGGGTGATCTGTAGATGAGGGAATCGTGGGTGGTTGGATGGTGTCTGAGTGGTTGGATGGATTGGGATTGGATGGTTGGGTGAGTAAAAAGATGGAAAGATGAATATTTAAATGGGGGTAGATGCCTGGGTGGATGGATGGTTGTTCAGGTGGATATTAGAAAGCTTGGGCGAATGGAATGACTAGCTGAATGGAAGGTTTGGGTGGATGGGAGTAGTTGAGTGGTTGGATGGCTAGAAGGGTGGGTGGGTGAACAGGTGGCACCAGAGCCTGAAATGCCTCCAATTAACCTCCTAAAGGTCATGGAGAACCTCTGACGCTCAAAGAAGCAGAAACAGGCTCAGACACTGGGCCTCTAAGGTTGCCTGCCCCAGGACCCTTTCTCCAAGTTGGGTCCACCCCACCCACCCCCATGCGGGGTCCTACCTGGAAGCTGCAATCTCTGCCTTCTGGCGCGCTATTGCGGCTGCTCGCTGGGCGCCCTCCACACTGTGGTCCACCTTCTGGCGGACCTTGTTGCTCTTCAGCTGCAGCACGCGGCGCTTAGTGCCCTTGACCAGCACGTTGTGGCGGTACTTGCCCTCCTCGCGGTGGCCGTCGGGTAGCGTGGTGCAGCCGTAGCCGTGGCGCAGGTTGTCCAGCCACTCGCCTTCGTAACGGAGGCCGCTGGAGCGCTCGCTCACGCCGAAGCCCGAGCGCTTGTCATTCTTCCACTCGCCCATGTAGGTCTCGGTGGTAGTGGCGTCGATGTCGGCCTCGAAGGGCGCGGCCTCGTCGGCGCCCTCGGCACCATCGCCCAGGCTCGCAGTGGACGCTGCGTCGCTGGCGCCCGAGCTGTGGTCGCTCTTGAGGAAGCTGACACGGCTGCGTTGACTGCCCAGTGACGTGCGCGACTCGGCGCGCCGCAGCTTGCCCAGCAGGGCGCCCCGCTGAAAGAGGCCGCCGCTCTTGGCTGCCCGGGCGGCCGCCTCGGCGTTGGCCAGGAGACTGAGCGCAAAGCCGCTGCGCGGGATGGCGGGCAAGGGCAGCGCTGGGCCGTCCGAGGCCGGCGAGGTGGGCGAGTCCGGGGCCACCGTGCCGTTGCTGTGCTCGCTGCGGAGGGACGACAGCGACGTGCGCAGCGGCGAGCGCACCACCACGGCCATCCCGTAGGGCACGCTCTGGCGCACGCCGTAGCCGTGGCGCATGCCGTTGGTGAACTGGCCTTGGTAAGTCCCTGCGGGCGAAGGGAGAGTGCGTTAGTGGGATGGTACCATGGAGTCCCTGCGTGTGCACAGTGACCTGGGTGTGCAAGGGCAGGCGTGAGCAAGGCTGCGTGGGGCTGAGAGAGGCAGCAGGCCATCTGAGGGGCAGAGTGTGAAGTTATGAATGCAGGCGAGGCTCCATGAGTGTGTATGAGCGTGCAAGCACATCTGTGGGCAAGCCAGGAGTTTGTGCAATGGTATGAATGCTTGGTCCGTGTGAGTGTTGCAAGGTCATGAGTGTGCAAGGTGGCATGAGGGTGTGTGACTGTCAGTTTGTGAAGTTGTGTGAGCAGGTGAGGTCCTGGGAGTGCATGAGGATAACAAGTGTGCAAGGACACAAGTGGGCAAGCCCGAGGGAGTCTGAGTGATGGTGTCGATATTTCCATTGCTGGGAACGTGCCAGGTCACAGGTGTGCGGGGTAGGGTGCTACTTGGTCTACTTTTCCTTTTTTTTCCATAGCACTTATTACTCTCTAACAGACTATACAATTTATCTATTATATTTATTGCTTTTCTCCCCCTTCTGGAATGGAAGCTCCATGAGGGCAGGGCCCTTGTCTATTTTTTCTCTCAGATTCATCACCATGACCTAGAGCGTACCTGGCTCTTAGAGGTGCTCCATAAGTACTTGTTGAATGACTGGCTGAACCTGTCCACAACCTCCATCTGATTGTGTGACCTTGGGAAACTCCCTTTCTTTCTTAAGGCCTCGATTTCCCCATCTGTCAGTGACATGTTGGGTGTGAAGCTCTCTAAGGTCCGGCCTTACTCTGGGGTGCTGGAGTTCTAGGAATTGGGGCACTGTGACTCAGGAGGCCAAGGGTGGTGCCCCAGATACTTCCTCACTGCCTGGTCCCTCCAGTGGGGGGTGGAGCAGCACGAGCTACTCCAGCTCAGGGTCGCACCCCATCCACCCCAGCCCATTCTGAATTAAGAGCCTCCGCTAAGGAACAAGTACAGTGCACAGCCTCTCCATGGTCCTGCGAGGTGGGTCCCATGATTATGCTCATTTACAGAAGAGGAAGCTGTGGTCTGAGAAGTTAAGTGACTTGACCAAGGAAACAGGATCCAAACCCAAGCCCATCTGATGCTGAAGCTCATGCTCTGAGCCGCAGTTGTCAGTCCTGGCTGTGCAGTAAAAGCACTAGAAGAGCTTTAAAAAAAAAAAAAAAAAACCTGATTCCTCGGCTCCACCCCTAGAGATTCTGATTTAATTTGCTGAGGAGGGTTCCTGGTGTTCCTACTGTCCACGTAGATCTTGGGTGGCTTCCAGCCCCTCTGTATGGCAGGCAGGAACAGCCAGGAAGAGAGGGACATCAGAGCTCTTCTCATTTCAATGACCAGCCATGGGAAACTAATAATCATGGAATATCAGCTACGAAAAGGCCAAAAAGAGACAGAGGCAGACAAGAAGAGAGGAGAGTACTGGGCATGATTTCATGGAGAAGATGAAATATCTCCATTTCGTAGGTAGACTGATGTTCAGAGAAGTGATATGACTTGCCGGAAGTCACATAGCAAGGCAGAGCAGAACTGGGATTCTGTTAAAATGTAAGTCAGATCACATCACTGCTTCCAGAGATTCCCCTTCTTACTAAGAGGAAAAGCTGAATCCTTAGTGACCCACAAGGCTCTGTCTGATCTCACCCCCATCACCTCTCTGTCCTCATGTCTTCCCCTTCTCCCCTCCCGCTCACTCCTCTCTAGCCGTAAAAGCCTCCTTGCTGTTCTTCTCACACCAGCCATGGTCCTGCCTCAGGGCCTTTGCATTTGCCGTTCCCTCTGCCTGCAATATTCTTCCTCAGATGTCTGCATGGCTTGCTCCCTCGCCATCTTCAAGTCTTTACTCAAACAGCAGCTCCTCAGGGAAGCCTCCCCCAGACCACCCTTTTTAAAATTGCAGTCCCCCACATGACATTTCCCATCTCCCTTCCTTGCTGTATTTTGCTTCATAGCATGCCTAATATAACAGATGTTTTGCTTTTTATTGTTTCGTGACTGTCTCCCTGACCAGAATGTAAGCTCCATAAAGGCAGGGATTTCTTTCTTTGTATGCCTTGCTGCATCCTCAGTGCCTAGAACAGTGCATTAGTATTTGTTAAATGAATGAATGAATGAACAGCATGCATTCTAGAAGAGAATCTTTATTCTTGCTGTTATAGCCATCGGAACACAGCCCTGTGAAAATGAGTAGACAGGTATTTTATGGTTTCTCTAAGAAAAATCCAAGGCCTGCCAAGGACAAAGGACTTGCCCAAGATAACACAGCTATTACATGTGTCAGAGCCAAAACTGATGGCCATTTCTAGAAAACAAAGACATGAAAGGAGAAAGTGAGCAACAATAGAGCAGAGAAGATGGTGTTTAAGACTGAAAAGAAAGAGAAGACATCTAATCTGTGGATTAGGCCAGCTTGTGAAATTGAATCGGCCAACCCACCTTTAGCTTACGTTGCTGCGAGATGGGCTGACGTGGTCCCTTTAAACAGACTGAGATTGTAACAGGAGGGCACCACTTGGCCTCCAGTTGGGGAGGAAACAGCCAGGCTATATTAGGAAACTTACAAGCAAGTGGCAAGAGGCACAGACAACCAGGGGAGGCTGGGAGTGACGGGGCACTGGGAAGGGGGAAAAGCTAAGCGCCTGGACCATCCCCAGCCTGACTGTAAGACAGGACAGTTCTCCCGGGGGATGGGAAGCGAAGAGGGAGAGAAGGAGGCCCCTGACTGCAGCTGTCTGCTGACTGCAGCTGTCTGCTGAGAGGGGCCCTCTGTGGAAGGAAGTGGCTCCTCCGATACGCTTTGAGCTGACTCCTCCTGTGGCCATGTAAACCCTGCAGTGCTTCCCGCTGCCCTCGGAATAAGGACCAAGATCCTTAGGGGCCTACAAGGCCTGGCATGGGCTTCCCCCACCTACGTCTCCTACTTTGCCTTACCACACGGGCCTCCCTACCTCAGGGCCTTTGCCCATGCTTTCCCCCTTCTTGGCATACTCTTCTGCTCCTTATTCCTCCACTCAACTCCTGTTGACATTTCGAGTTTTAGCTTAAATGTAACTCCTTCCAGGAAGATTTCTCAAACTGCTGGGAACAGCCACAGGCTGTCACGTCACTCTGCACTTCTTGTCACTTTTCCCAATTGCAGTTAAATAACTGCTATGATCATTTGTTCCCCGCAAGCCCTCTCCGGTAGACTTTGGCTTCCGTAAGGAGGAAGCTGTGTCTAGCTTATTCCCACTGTGACCCCAGCATCATTCCCAGGCCCAAGGAAGCCCTCAGTAAACAGCTGATGAATCATTGAGCATCTTCTCCTGCGTGACATTCTTACGTTCTTCGAGGAACGTTAAGGACCCACATCTTCTCTTTTCCCTCATGACTCAGCATGCAGTAGGTCCTCAGTCGTGAACAGCAGTGGCTGCCAAGCATGTTCAGGTTTAGATTTAGCAGCTTAAACCCTCGGAGGTATTGGGGTACATACAAAGGCTGGTGAAGACCATGACCGTTGTAAAAGCAGTCCTGGCCCTCCGATGGGACTCTTGAACTAACTAAAACCTGAATGTAGCCTTTTCCCCTGTTCAGTATGGAATGACCTCAGTTTTAACCTTATCTCTGACACTAATTAGTTCTAAAATATGTATAAGTTACTTCAGCCTGCTGAGCCTCATTTTGTCTTTGTGTAAAATGGAGCTAATAATACCTGCTTCCTGTGCTTGTTCATTCATTCCTTTGAACTGGAAAATTATTTCCTGAGCATTTCCTCTGGATCACGCATTCATTGTACTAGGTGCTAGGGATATAGCAGTGAACCAAATAGACATGGTCCCTGCCCATAAGGGGCTTGGAGTCTGGTGCCAGGGATAGATTAAATTTAATCAACCAATCTCAAAAATAAACATTGGGTCAAAAAGAAAAAAGAAAAAAAAGGCCAGACTTACTGGTCTGACAGTGACTGGAGAAACCCGGAGAGTATGGCCCCCAGACACCCTTATAGCTCAGTAATTAAGACATTCCTAAGGTTCACCCTTCAGCCAAAGATCAGACAGGCCCATAAAACAAAACGAGACTAAATGGGCACACCAAACCAGGGACAAGGGCGAGAAGGCAGGAGCGGACAGGAAAGCTGGTAATAGGGAACCCAAAGTCAAGAAGGGGAGAATGTTGACGTGTCGTGGGGTTGACAACTAATGTCACAAAACAATATGTGTATAATTGTTTAATGAGAAACTAGTTTGCTCTGTAAACCTTCATCTAAAGTACAATAAAATAAATAAACGTTGGGAAGCCGTAGCAGTGGTCCAGACAAGAGATAATGGTCCAGGTCTTGGGTGGCAGTGGAGTGGGGAAGGTTGGTTGACCTGTGGATTAAATGAACTAGCATATGGAGACAGCTATCAGAGTGCCAAGGAGCCATGGTGGTGCAATGTTTAAGTGCTCCGCTGCTAACCGAAAGGTCAGTGGTTCAGATTCACCATGGGAGAAGAGATCTGGCAATCAGCCCCCATAAAGATTACAGCCTAGGAAACCCTATGGTGCAGTTTTACTCTGCCTTACAGGGTTACTATGAATTAGACATCGATTCCACAACACACGACAGACAGCACAGTGCCTGGCATACAGTAAGTGCTCAAGAAAGACTAGCTTTTTGGCAGGTCAGAGTCTTTGCGTGGAAAAGCTGGCCCAGAAAGGATTAACTGGAAAGATGAAAAGGAGCCAAGGAGGACAGAGATAACTCGGAGGGAGAGAATGAGGCCAGCTCCAATTTTCTGCCTGGGTCTGGGTGCTTGTAAGTCTGAGTACCCCTGGGCCCTGGGATGCCAGGTTCCCTGCTTTGGGCACATCCTTGACTCAGGGAAAGTCTTCAGAGCTTTCATCCTGTGGAGGAAAAAAATGTTGGGGTCTGCTCATCAGTGAGACCTGCCTTCACACCCCCTAACACACAGGGTAGTTTCTGGAAGCCACATGTATACTGCAAGAT